AACAGCCTGGAGCGCATGGGCCCCGCCATGGGCCCGGCCCTGGGCGCTGGCATCGAGCGCATGGGCCTGGCCATGGGTGGCGGTGGTGGTGCCAGCTTTGACCGTGCCATCGAGATGGAACGTGGAAACTTTGGAGGAAGCTTCGCAGGCTCTTTTGGTGGAGCTGGCGGCCATGCTCCTGGGGTGGCCAGGAAGGCTTGCCAGATATTTGTGAGAAATGTAAGTGGCTCTTCAGAAATGCCTTGTGGTGTGGGGTCCAGGGGAGGAGGTAGGCGGACTGCACAGTGGACTGCACAGTGGTGGACAGTAGGGAGAGCACACCTTGGTCTCGTCCCCAGAGTCTGCTGCTGGCACAAGGGGAGGGGAGAGGAGAGGAGAAGCTAAGGCCTGTAGGTACTCCGGCTGCTTCCTGTGGCCAGCCAAGCACAGAATAAGCTGACTCTGGTTTCCTGCCCCTCGGCTTGAGCAGCTACGTCTTGGCACAGTGTGTGTGTGTGTGAGTGCGCGCATGCGTGAGGGGTACCAGGAATTGAACTCAGGACCTTGTGCTTGCCAGGCAAGTGCTTATTCTACTGAGCTATCTCCCAGCCCATTGAAATGATTTGTTTGTGTACTTTATGGAACCGGGGATTGAACTCAGACCCTTGCGCTTGCACAGCGTCAAGAGCGTGTCTGTGACCGAGTTGTCTGTGACAGCTGGGCTCCCACCCTGGTGCTCCATCCCATGTGTCCTGCTCCCGTGGGGGCCCGCTGGAAAGCAGGCTGGAGGGATCCCTGGCCAGGGCCGCCTCTCCCAGGACTGATCTCTCCTTAGCTGGGTGTGGTGTGTGGTGCCCTGCAGCTGAGCACCCTGAGCCGCGGCCCGGCCCTCCCGCAGACTGCTGTGCTGTTGTGCCTTAGGACCCGTGGAGTTGTACATTAGTCTCTTTTTTTTCCCCTCAGCTCCCGTTTGATTTTACATGGAAGATGTTAAAGGACAAATTCAACGAATGTGGTAAGTGTCTGAGAAGGGCTGTCCTGGTGCCTGGGTTGTGGCTCGTCGGTGCGGTGGCACCAAGCAGTAGGGCTCCCTTCCTAGTCTTGCAGCCCCTGTCCATTGGCTCCAGAAGCCCAGTGGGCCTGGCCGTTGCCCTGTTTGTGTGAATGCTCAAGTGGGTGTTGAGGGCCTGTATGTGTCCGGCATTTTGTGCTTGTTTACCTTGTTTTCTTCTGGAGTTTTGGAGAGGGGGTTGTGCTGCCTTCTTCCACAATGAGTCAGGCAGAATCACCTTCCTGAGGTCATACAGCCTCTTTTTTTTTTTTGCGGAACTGGGGATTGAACTCAGGCCCTTTCGCTTGCCGGGGAAGCGCTTATTCCACTGAGCCGTCTCCCCGGCCCCATACAGCCTCTCTAAGATAGAAAACTAAATGCATCCCCGGCGAGGCTGCTATCCACATAGCACAGCCCAGCAGGCACCCTGTGTGACTGCAGGGGCTTGTGGGGGTGAGAGGTGGCTGCTGGTGGTGTGTCCTGGCATTCCTTTATGTCCAAGAAGCTTTCTCCTTGCCCTCCATGGAGAGCTGTCACCTGCACCCCAGTCCCTGCTCCTTGCCACTCCGTCAGCCCCAAGCCTGAGGTCTGGGGCCACAGAATCGCAGCCACCTCTGCCCTCCCTGTCCCTGTCTCAGGAGAGGCTCTTGGCTTCCCAAGCTGCTGCCTTTCCACCTAGGCTTCCCTTCTCCCTACTGTATGGTTTCCATATCATGTTATAGTTGGAAAGGGTGGTTGGATCCAGCCACGCCCTCATCCTGAGGACTTGCCCCCAGGTTTTGGGTAGCACTCTGCTTGAGGCCCGCACAGCATCACTGCAAGGAGTCCTGGGTGACCCTTGCACCTTGACAGCTAGTCTGGTGAAGCCCTGGCTGTTGCCAGGCCTCTGTGCTCCTTCCCCTGAGGCTGTCTCCCACAGTGCCTGACACACACCTGGTTGCTTGATGGGGGTATGCCAGCCGCCGTCCCCACCCCCATGTCTTGGCCAACGCTGAACAGCACAAAAGTGTCCCTGCATTGGCAATGATTTTGTGATTCAGGGTGGTGATGCATGGAAAGGGAAGCCTGTAGAGTTGGCTTTACACGCTCCTTGAATTTGAGACCACCAGAAGGGCTTGCAGAGACACTGAGGTTTGTCCTGCCAGTGGAGCAGTGGCAACATGGCTGAGGGTGTAGCTGCCAGTTCCAGCCATGCTGCGCAGTGTTTGAAGTGTTCCACTACAGGTGCGAGGGCTGTCCTCTTTTCAGAGTTTGTCCCAAAGTGCAGCGGGTGATCTGGACCAAGTGGGGCAGGCCTAGGCTGAGCTCTGGGTTTGCCTGACGCGCTGGTCTCTTCTCCCTTAGGCCACGTGCTGTATGCTGACATCAAGATGGAGAATGGGAAGTCCAAGGGCTGCGGAGTGGTTAAGTTTGAATCGCCAGAGGTGGCTGAGAGAGCCTGTCGGATGATGAACGGCGTGAAGCTGAGCGGCCGAGAGATCGATGTTCGGATCGATAGAAATGCTTAAGCAGTTGCCTTTTTTAAACATCAATACCAGACCTCTGAATTTGTATTTTTTCTTGTTAACCATTTTAATTTGTTGGCTGGATGTATAAAGATGTTTAAAAAATTCAGTTGCTTTTTGGGGTAATTTGAATTACTTTTTTAATGACTGGGGTTCCATTTGACTGTTTGCATTGAGATTGCAATGTGCGCAATTTTTTTTGTAGTTGTGGCATCTTGTTGACATCAGATATGACTTTGATAATAAATACCAGTTCCTGAAAGTGGCTTGCTTTTGCATATGTGTTGTGGGCGTGGGGTGGCCATCTGAGGACTTGGAAGCCAGAGCCACTCGAGCTTCCTCTCTCCAGGGATCTTTTCCTCTGTTGTGGCTTATCTGTGGGCCCTGGGACCAAAGACAAGGGCCTGCCACCTCAGGGACACGCGGCGGCACTGAGCAGAGTGCTGCTGTGTTGAGTGGTGCAGACCCGCTCCGGTCTCTCTGGGACTGGGGACAGACACTGTTGGGCTCCTCTCTAGGCTGCTTCCCAGCAGTGCACCAGCTCTGAGCCTCTTAGGCCCAGCAGGTGTGGAGGCTGAACTGATCTCTGTGTGACAGTCTGTGCTCCACTGGCACAGAAGGACTGACCCAGAGCCATTCGGAGGACAGAAGGCGACACTTCCAAGGGGCCCTGGCATCACCCATCCTGGGGGCAGGGGCAGCCAAGTGCGAAGTGACCCAGCTACCCAGCCCCTCCCATGCTGGGTTTTCTAACTATAGGGTGCAACCTTGGAACTGCGTGGAGTGGGGCCCACAGAAACAGCCCTGGCTGTGCTAGTCAGAAGGGGAGGTAGACGTTGAGGCTTGCTTTCAAGAGGTTTCTGTGGCTCACGTGTGGTGTGTGGCCCTCTGCCAGGCTGGGCTGGGTCGTGGGGCGCAGCTGGCTGGACCCAGGTCTGTTCCTCACTGCTCCCTAGGAAATGCTTGGTTCTCCAGAGGATCTGAGGGGAGGGTGGCCTGTGCTGGTTCCTCTATGTGAGGCAGGATGGGGAGTGGCCCCTGGGAGCCCCTGGTCCCTTCCCGTTGGACCCCAGCATCTACGTACCGCAGAAGCCCACATCGTCATACACCTCGGTTTCCCTAGTGGAAAGCAAGCACAGCTGTGTCAACAAGGGGTGCCTGGGCTACGCAGCACCCCCACCCCCACCCCACACACACCTCCCCAGCCGGGCTGGCACTCACAGGGGCAGCAGCGCCGTCCTGGGCACATAGCCATCTGCAGAGGGCGGGAGGAAGTACACAGATGGGCCTTCTGTCCTGGGCACTGCCCCCAGAGCCAGGCCCAGGCCCAGGCCCGGTCACTCACACTTGCCCTTGGGGTCCCGGCACAGCATCTCGTCCTTGCTGGTGTACTCGATGACCTCCAGGATCTCCCCGCGCCGGATGCCCAGGTGCTTGCCCCCACCTCTGCGGGTCTTAGCATTCGGGTCAATCATCATCCTCGTGTGAATCACGATCTCACCCTCAAACTGGGCAGGAGGTAGACATCAGTTCCACCTTGGACACCCTGCCCCTGCCACCACCGCCACTTTTGCCTTCAGAGTTGGGACGGAGGTGCCCAACCTTGAACTTCTTCCGGAACTCCCTTTCTGCCTTCTCCGCCTTCCTCAGCTGCTTCAGCACCTTTGGGTCCATGGAAGGCACCTGCTGTGGCAGAGGGGCCGTCTTCCTGATCCCCCTAGGAATTGGGAGGACTTAGCTATGTCTGGGACCCAGGCTCCAGTTTCTCAGCACCATCCACCCCCCTGCCGCCTGTGGTACCTGAGGTCTGAATCTGCTGGTAGTTTGCTGGTGGCTTGCTGGGTAGGTGGCACTTCTGAGAACAGGCAGGCCCCAAGTCAAGGCAGGGACCCCGCTCAACTGCTGCACCCTAGTGACCCTTGGTGAAGCGAGGGTCCAGGCACCAAGAACCCAACCGGCTGCCTCCTGCCCTGCCTGCCTGCGGCCTCCCTGGCCGCCGCGGGTGGCTTTCGTTTCTTTAACTCCTGCTAACCCGCACAGCCACTTCATGTCGCTAGGTAACACAGTCTTTCCCTGCTTGCTGGCGAGGAAATAAAAGGCTCAGAGAAGTGGAGCCACCTGTCCAGCTCATTCAGCTGCTAAGTGATGGAGCCCCTGTTTGCTAGGTGCATGTTGGGAATTGAAAAGGGGCTGCCCTCGGGAGGAGAGCGGTCCTGGCTGGGGATGAGGCTGGGGGAAGGTGTGTCGGGTGAGGGCAGCCCTGGCCATTTCCTGTGGGCCATGCCTCTGCTGGATGAGGGTTTGGTTTAGAGCAGGAACCTAAATCTGGGCGTCATCTGGCCTCTGGATGGCCAGAAGCGTCACCGGACGCCAGGCAGCCTGCTGAAGGGCATCTACAGAGTCGTCTCGGAGCCAAGCTCACCCTCTTTCAGGTCCCACCCAGAGAACAGGCTTCCACCAGCTCCAGGGCGCCCCGCTGTGGCCATGCCCTGCTCCAGATCCCCCCCCCAAGTGGCACCAGCTGTGCAGTGGAGCTGGCCCTGTGCCAAGGGGGTGCATCACATCTGGCCAATGCGGGGAGACCTGAGCACACGTGGAATTTGGTTCTGATCTGGAAGAGCTGCTGGTGCGGGGCCCTATGCACAGAGGAGGGGGGGTGGGGCGAGCCCACAGGGAGGCCAGAAGGGGCGTGGCCAGGGCTAGGAAGGGGCCTCTCCAGCCCGCGCGCCCAGGCAGAGCCCCCAGACCTCGGCAGCTGGCAGCCGCAGAACCTGGCTGAGGCGGAAGCAACAGGGGCCCTGCCAGGAAGCTGTACACCAGGAGGTGTTGCAAGCAGCGCTTGGAGATGGACAGCCCAGAAGCTGAGGGGTCGGGGAGGAGTAGGGACTGGAATCCTGGATCAGGACCTCTGGGGCAGATGCAGGGAGAGCTGGAACCCCTGCTCTAGTCAGAAGGGGAGGAAGGCGTTGAGGCTTGCTTTCAAGAGGTTTCTGTGGCTCACACTCACCCTTCCAGAAAGCCACTCCCAGAGGGCTGGTTCCCCCTGGGAGTAGAGGGCCTGCCTGGAGCCCCGCCCTGGGGAGTGAGGGTGACACTGCACTGGTGGAAGGGTGGGCCAGTGAGGGCTTGCGAGCCAACCAGGCACACCCCAGAGAGCCAGCTTGGGGCGCAGGCCTGCTGGACCCTCTCCCTGCACTCCGGGGCCGGAGACAAGAAAGCAAGGGTCCATCTTTGTGGCCATTGCCACCCAGCGTCTGGCTCTCCCCCGAGCAGGACGTCCCTTTGCACCTTGCACCCACAGGTCTAACATGGAACCTGGAATCAGGTCCAGCCCTAGGGTGTCTAGGCCGAGCGTTCCAGCGCCAAGCGCCAATCTAGGGCCTGGCTCCTGCCCTCAGCCTCATGGGTGCTGGGTCCGGCTGCCCGTGCCCGTGTCTCTGGTCCTGGGTTCCAGCGCTGTTTAGGATCCTGCCACCACCCCACACTGCCCACAGCAGCCCCAACCCAGCAGTCTGCCTCTGGGCTACTCTCCTTCTCCAGCACAGTTACAATCGTGGCAGGAACTTCCCTTGCAGGGAGTGCTTTATAGTGCCTGGGCAGACCACCAACAAACCTTTGCCCCTGGGGCCAGGGCTGGAGTCTGGTTCCACTTGGTCATACATCTCGTAGATCTCATCTGGGTTCCTGCAGGGACACCCAGGATGAGCGCCCCTTCCACCCACCCCTGTGCCCGACTACCCTTCCTCCCCACACTCACTGTAACTGCCCAGCCCGAAGGGCTTGGAAGTGCGTCCCTGCAGAAGAGTGGGCCCTCCGCATTCCTGTGGGGGACAGAGCAAGAAGGAGGGGGTGCTGCCTCAGAGCCTCAGCCCCTTCCTCACCTGCGTGGCTTACTGACTCACCTGTGGCTGCTGCCCAGCCTCTTCGAAAGCTCTGCACATCCAGGGGACCTGGGGGAAGCGGGGGCTTGGCTGGAGGGGGCCCCAGGCTGCTGGTTGGGGGCAGAGGCTTCCGAGGGGGTGGTTGGTAGCCTTTGAATTCCTCGGACTTCCAATGGGGTGGCCCAGCAGCGACTCCAAGCTCACTGGTGCCCACCAGGGCAGTAGGCAGTGAACTCTCAGACACTGAGCCTGGAAGTGGGTTCTTGATAGGGAGACCCTGGAAAAGCTTAGAATGTGGGTGCTTCTTGGGCAGAGGCTGGGCCTCCGGCTGGGCCATCTTGTGGGGTGGCCTCCTGTTCTCAGGCTGCGAGAACTTCCTGGGCAGGGAACTGAACTCGGGCTCTGAGCATGTTCTGGGGAGGACCACCGGCTCAGGCGGTGGCGGCTTTTTGCAAAGGGGCTTGAACTCGGGCTGCCGAGGCCTCTTGGGAAGCACGCTGACCTCTGGCTCTGAGGATGTCCTAGTGAGGCCACCAAACTCAGGCTTCACAGCCTTCTTGGGAAATGCACCAGAGCCTGGCTTCAGGGTGTGGGGTGCCCACGGCTCGGGCTCCGGCTTGGTAGGGACCTCGCTTAATTCAGGCTGTGGGAGGGACTTCTTGGAGGTCCTGGCCTGTGGCTTGAGGGGCTTCCTGGGGTACACACTGAACTCAGGCTTTGGGGAGCAAGGATGGGGGTAGCTGGGCCCCACCTTTGAGGGGGACACTTGGGAGACTTCACTGCACTCAGGCTGTGGGGGGGACTTCCCAGGGAGACTGCTGACCTGAAGCTGTGGGGGCTTCCTGGGGTATGCACTGAACTCGGGCTGTGGGGGCTTCTTGGGGAATGCACTGGGTTTGGGCTCTGACGGAGGCTGGAGGTCCCGCTGTGAGGCAGACTGAGACGCTTGGGTGGCCTCAGGCTTCAGGGGTTTCCTGGGAAACAGAGTGGCCTCAGGCTGAGGATGCTTCTTGGAGAGATCACTGAACTCGGATTTGGATGGTTTTGGTGAGAAACTGGCAAACTCAGGCTGGGGCAGCTTCTTGGGGAGACTGGCAGGCTGGGGCTGTGGTGGCTGCTTGGGCTGTGCACTCGGCTCGTGCTGCGGTAACTTCTTCAGAAGCCTGTTGGCCTCTGGCTTTGGGGGCTTTTTGGGGAGGTTGCTGGGTTCTGGCAGAGAGGCCTGGAACTTGGCCTGGAGGCTCCGGAAGTCCGACTGGCTGTCCTGGGCACACAGGAACGACAGGCGGGCTTGCATACCACTTGTTCACCCTGCCCAACCTCGCCCTCAGCCTGCTTCTATTGTTGGCTCCCTCTCCCAACCTGAATTAAGTGAGGTCCCTACAAAACCACACCCTTGGAGCTGGCCCATGTCCTTGTCTCACCTCACCGCAGTAGGCCCCATCCCTGGGCGCTTCTGTCCTTGTAGCCCCACGGTCCCTCCCAGCATCCTCACCTCCCCCCACATGCACATCCCCCCCCCAGTCCTTTCTGTTCCCGTTTCAAAATACATCCGGAATCCAACCACTTCTCACTGCCTCCCCCACCACCACCCCAGCTGGAGGAACCATCCCCGCTACACCCAGGTCATGGTCAAAGGCCCTGCAGGCTCAGCTCTCCCCACACTGGCTGTAAGAAGCCTGCTGAGCCCTCTCATACCCTCCTAATGAGTCCTACCTCCCTGGAACATTTCAGGAAGGCTCTGACCACCAAGCGTCTCCCTGTCCCCTCTCACCTAGCACACCACTCCCTCCATGAGGGACATTATCCCCACCACCTGCATCTCTTCCAACTCCAGTTCTCCAAGCTGCATCTCCTTCACCAGAGAGGGCTTCCAGATCACCCTAGTTTTAGTCAGTGCCCTGTCCTCCCTGGCCTGTGTGACTGTTCTTGTAACTTGCAAACACTTACTCTACTGAGCCATTTCCCCGGCCCCCCTGGCCTTGAATTCAGAGCTGTCCTCTTGCCTCAGCCTTCCAAGTGCTAGGATCCCAGGTGTCCACGCCACACCTGGCCTTGATTGTTGGCTTTGGCACTGGGGATGGAAGCCAGGGCTTGGTGCAGACCAGGCAAGGGCTCCACTACTGAGTTACACCCCAGCCTCGCTGGGTTTCTGAACTTTTTTTTCCAGAAATGGGGATTGAACTCAGGCCCTTGAGCTTGCCATGCAAGCACTTATTCTACTGAGCCATCTCCCCGGTCCCCTAAAATTTGTTTTGTAAAAAAAAGAAAGCAAGTATTTTAGGGCCAGGGAGAGATCTCAATAGAATAAGCCCCTGCCAGGCAAGCACAGGGTCCTAAGTTCAATCCCCCATACTGGAAAAAAAAAAAAAAAAAGGTAAAATTTGTTTTCTCTCTACCTATATACACATCCAACCCTAGTCAGCTGCTGCAGGGAAGGGCCTCAGCTTGCCCACTGCTGGCCTTGCAGTGTGACGTGTAGCAGGTGTCCCCTGAGCATTCACAGAAGTAAGGACTGCACAGGCCAGGTGTGGTGCTCTGCACTGCAGTCCTGGCACTCGGGAGGCTGAGGCAGGAGGCCAGCCTGGGCACCTGGGTGAGTTCAAGGCCAGCCTGCACTATGAGGCGAGAGACTGTTTCAAACACACACACACACACACACACACACACACACACACACACACACATCAAACAACCAACCAAAGCCTGAAGGTAGATCCCCAATCTGATGGTCACAGATGCTGACCTGGTCATGACACAGGTATCACACAGCGTCCACCTCATGCCCAGAATGTCCCAGGTGCCCCCTGCATCAAGGGTCACTGGTGCTGGCAGATGCCGAAGGCCAGGCTACCTGAGTGGCTATCATTCTGTGCCCCACTTTCTTGCCCACCCAGGGGGTCAGAGTGTCCCAGCAAGCTGCTGATTGCTGTCTGGTGCCCAGAATGCCTCTAGGTAGGTTGAAGCCAAGGTTAGCAGGTCACCACTTGGGTGTCTTGTGGGTGGGGTGGTCAGCGGGCATGTGACCCACTTAGTTACCCACAGGACGCTTGGGCTCTACCCAGGCTGCTTCTTCCCAGGTTGCTGTTCTTGCTGCCCTGGGGAGAGGGAATCATCTTGGACAGCCCCACTTCTCCCCACGACCAAGCCTTGGCCCGAGGAGCTGGAGCTGAGCCCTGCCTGGGCCTGTGCCCTGGCTGCTTCCCACCTGGTCACCTGCATGTGGGCCATTCAGTTTTCCCAGCTGCTCTCTCTGCCCCTGCACATGCCCTGGGGACAGCATGAGTGTCCTGCTTGCTTCCAAGCCAGCTAGAGGGCCTCTGTCCTCTCCCAGGGCTTGGAGACTCACCATGGCTGCAGACAGGTGACAGGCCACAGGCGGAGTGGGCCCCTTGCAGCCTGTGTGTGTGTGTTGCCTTCAGGAAGTCACTGCGGCTTCTCCACTCAAGGTCGGGGTGGGGAGGGCAGAGGAGGAAGGAGAGGAGGCGGAGATGGAGACAGCCCAGGCCTGTCCCCAGATCCTGTGAGGCCCTTCTGCTCCCGTGACCCCGTGCTTCCTGCTGGTGTCCCCAAGCTTTGGGCCTTGGTGTCTCGTCTGTGCTTGTCACTTGGGAGCCAGGCCCTGGTGACCATCCACAGAAGGGGCAGTCACGGGACAGAGAGCTCACAGTGCGAAGACCAGTCCAGGCCTGGGGGCTGGTGGGACAGTGAGGCCACATCTGCCTGCCCCAATTGCCCCACTGCTCCATCTGTCTTCCTTATTTTGACATCTCTGGCTCTTGGCAGAACTTCCCTGTTGGGGACAGATGTTCACCTGCCAGGACCGACCTGTGGCTAAGGTCTGGGCTGGGGCTGCAGATCTGGGGGTGGGGGGATGGGCTGTCAGAGACCTGGCCCGTCAGAGACCTGGCCCTTGAGGACAGCTCGAGTTCTCAGTGCTTGAAGGCAAAACAGAGGGAGCTGAAGACGGGGGCAGGAAGAAAGTGTAGAGGGCACAGCGGGAGGAAGGCAGTGAGATCGGGTGGACTGATTGGGATGAGCCCTGACCCTGAGGTTCTGTCCACAGGAAACCAGTGAATGGCCCTAGCGGGTAAAGGAAATATCCACGAGAGTGCAGCACCCTGATTCTTTGGCCATCAACGGCAAGCACCTAAGCCAAGCAGTCAGATTACAGTTTAACTTTCCTGAGGTATAGCCTCAGGAGTTTTAAAAGACTGTGACGGGAGCTGGTGAGATGGCTCAGTGGTCTAAAGCACCTACATGGAACAAGCTTGGCAAAGCACAGGGACCATGGTTCGATCCCCCAGCACCACATGCCAGCCAGCCTCGCCCCCTGGTGGGCTGAGCTGGACACACACACACACACACACACACACAATAAATAAATGTTTAAAAAAATATTTAAAAAAAAAAAAAAGACTGTGACGGGGGGATACTGGTAGACAGCCCAACAGACCTACATATGACCCTCAGAACAGACTGGGTGAACTCTAACTACTTTTTATAGGCAGGGCATTGCTATGTGGTCCAGGCTGGCCTAAACACTATGAAGCCCAGGCAATCCTCCAGCTCGTGGCGATCTTGTCTCAGCATCCTGGGTGGGTGCTGGCATGACAGGTGTGCACCACTATGGGGGGAGGTAAGCGGTCAGGTTTGGGGCCTTTGTGTTCCCAGGACCATGGTGGTTGGGGGGGGCAATAGAAAAATCATATATTTGCCAAGAGCACAGTAGGTGCTCAATTAAGGCAAGCTCTGGGTGCACAGCTGGGGGCTCCAACAGGAGGACCCTGTTAGAGCTGGGCGGGGACGTCCTTGGCCCAGATTCCGTGCTTTGAGAGTGCAGGGCCGGGCCCCTGCCGCCAGGGGGCGGCCCTTCGTGTATCTGGCACCTTCCTGCAAGGTCCCTGTCGCGGGGTGGCCGTGACCAGGTGGCTGCAACCAGAGTAGAAAACCAGACTACAAGTAGAGAACCGAAGTGAGCACAGGCACGGCTCCTCTCCCATTCACAGCTGGGGTCACTAAGCCGGTACCCCCAAATGATAAACTGGCACACACCCGTGCAGTCACTGGCACCTTCGGGCGCCCCCTGCTGGCGGAGCCGGAGCGAAAACTTTACGTTTTGAGCCATCAGGGATTGGCTGGCAGGGGAGCCGTCTCCATTGGTACCACCTTGGCTTGGGACTTGGGAGCAGTAAGGAATCCCAGGCACAAAGGCTAGACGTGCGAGGTGAGGCCGTGAGCAGAGCAGGTGTGTCGAGGAGAGGGTGTTAAGGGAGGCTGAGAGGGGGCAACCAGCCTGAGCACCCCTAGCCACCCGGGTCACAGTGGGCAGGGCACCACAGGACAGGTGGGCAGGGGGGTGGGCTGTGTGCCTGGGGCCAGGCGGCTCTGGGTTGGAGGAGCCAGGATCACGCTCCTGCCCCTCTCAAGAGAAGCAGAGATGTGTCCCTCAGAAGGACGCAGAGGAGGGGTGGCCCTGGGAAGGGATGGGGCAGGAGATGGTGCCTTGCGGGCTCCTGAGAGAACAGGTCTTCACTGGGAGGGCCGTGGGTCCCGAAGAGTGCCGGGCAGGGGTTACTGGAAAAGACCTTGTTTTTGGTGATGTTCACATGTGGGGAAGGGCAGGGGCGGGTCGTGAAGAGGGACAGTGAAGCCCTTGGTGGGGGACCACAAGGGCTAAGGAGGGCAGTCATGAGCAAGATGGAGAAGGTAAAACTGCCCCAAAAGGATGCCCCAAACGATGCCTGGAGCTTCCCACGAAGTGCCAGGGGCTGCACCTTGGCACTAGATTCTGGAGTCCCACGATGCGGCCAGGGGAAACGGAGGGGGCCCAGGCGCTGCAGGGCTTGCCTTAACCTCGCTGTCCCCTCCCGAGGCTTCTCCTTGCCCTGTGGCCCTGGGTCACTTGCTCCAGCCCTACTGCAGCCGGATAGAGTGCTATGAGGTGCAGATCCGGGTCCCAGCATGAGGTGACTGGGTGTAAGCGCTTCAGGTCTGCATCCAAAGGGGGCAAGGGACCCAGACACCGCACAAGCTGGATTGTCGCGCCTCCTTTATTGTCCCCACCCCACATTACAAGAATCTCTACCCACCCAGAGCAATGGGAGTGGGTGCAGTTCAAAGCAGCGAGAACACTGGCGGCTCCCCCTCTGCCATCAGCTGTGACACCTTAGACGCGAGCGGGGTCGGGTCTGAGTGGGGCAAGGCAGGGGGCGCCTCAGCGTTGGCCCCGCCCCCGGCCTCCGGCCAACCGCCCTCTCCCCGCGCGCATCCCTCGGCCTTACCCGCCGGGGCGTCGGGGCGTGGCGGCCCGGGCACCGGGGCTTCGGGGGCGCCGGGGCGGTGGTCCTGCAGGTGCAGTGTCATGGCGGGCCGCGAGGCCGTGGAGAAGGCGCACTGCATGCACGAGTAGCGGCCGCGCGTGTGCTCCCACACGATGCGGCTTGGGGCCGCGTGCACTGCGGGCAGGCAGGCAGGGCCGGTCAGTCCCACGCGCCGCCCGGGCGACCTGTCCGCCACGGGTGTGGGGGGGTGCCAGACATCTCCCCGCCTCCCCTTCCGCTCCCGGGCGCCTGGGTCGGGGTGTGAGGGGTCAGGGCCAGCCGGATCCGCTTCTCCTGGTCCTCTGTCCTTGAGGACACTAAACTTGGCCTTTCGCAAGTTCTCCTTTCTACCCCCAAAACCCCCGCACAGAAAAGGGCCGCTTCGAGGTGAGCGGGACGCGAGTTTTACGCGGAAAGCCGGCGCACAGGAAGGCTCAGGGGCCAGTGATTTTAAAGGCAAAATGTTGTATTTTTAAGGGGTGGCACTTCTGGACACCTGGGAAGGGACTGGGCACTATTGCCCTATCAGCATCCACGGGAAAGAAAGCCCCTCCACCCGCCCTGGTGGTCACCTGCACGCACCTGAGGGTGCATCGGAACCGCCCTGCGGTCTTCGGGGACTGCCGCCAGCACCTACAGGAGAGGGGCGGGTCAAGATCACTGTCAGGCCCCGTCCCAGCCCCTCCGCCAGCCCCACCCCCACGCTCACCTTGGCTCTTCTTCCAGACAGCAGCGCTGGAGGCTGGCGGCCCGGGAGCGGCGGCCAGAAAGGGGCGCAGGCGAGGGGGGCTTAGGCTAAAGGGCGCAGGGTTCAAGTAGGGTAGGAAGGATCCAGTGGGGGCAGAGGCGGGGGTCGTGAAGGGCTCGAGCAGCGGGAACGGCAGGCCGGCCGCCGACGCAGGGTCAGACTCCGCGGGGCGCTCAGGCGCGGGCGTCTCCTTGTCCAGGGCGGGGGGCGGCGCGGCGGGGCTCTGAGCGTGTTCTGCGCACACGTGCAGGTGCTTGAAGAGCGAGCGGTGCGTGCGGAAGCGCAGGAGGCAGTTCTCACACCTGGGGGCGGGCACAGGGCTGGGCTGAGGCTCCGGGGCCAGGTGAATGGGCCCTAGCCGTCGCTACCTGGGGGTCCGATGGGCAAACGCGAGGAGCCTGGACAAGTAGCCCTCCCCTAGGGTGGTGGCGACCCTTCTGGATCCCTCCATTTGGCAGCCCTGGGAACACGGAGAAGTCTGGTTTTGCAGAGTTCAAAAGAGGGGCCGGGCAAAGCCACGACCACGTAGGCCAGCCTTCCTGAGCTCTGCCCGCAGTTTCCAGACTGGCTCCAAGGGTCCAATGAGCGCGAAAAAGCGGTTTATCCAAGGCCACGCCCACTCGAACCCAATTCCCCCTCCCAGCCTAGCAAGGCTTAGAAGGTCAGGACTCGCGCGCAGTGCCGGGGCGACCGGGGTCTCACTTGAAGTAGCGATTGGGCTTGTAATGTAGCTTGCTGTGAGCCATCAGCTCCTGCATGCTCGGGAAGCTCTCCGTGCAGCTCAGGGCCGAGCAGCGGAAGAGCTTGCCTGGCAGGGGTGAAGGGCAAAGGATGGAGCCGGGTGGCCAAAGGTCCTGGGGACTCCTCCTGCCTCCCACCCTAACCTGCCTCCCACCAACAACCGTGGCCCTACCTTCCAAGGACTGGGTGGGTGGGCAGTGCGTACGAAGATGCTGTGCTAGGTCACGAACACTCGAGAAATTGAGGAAGCAGCCAGGGCTCGAGCAGGGTATTTGTGTCGCTGCAGGACACAGAGAGGGGTCACTGGTCCTTCCTCACTGGTGCTGCCGACCCACCATCCGCAGGCCCCAGTACAAGACCCTCCCCTCCCCCAGCCTCAGCTACCACCAGGGGATGGATTAGCCTGGCTTTTCATTGGAGCCGTGGCCTGGCGCTCAGGAAAGGATGACATCTGTCTAGATGGGCCACAAGTCTGAGGTCACTCTGTGCGCCTCATTCCTATTGCTGTCACCTGGTGGTGGGCGTCGTTTGGGAGGCCGGAGGTCCTCACTGGTCCCGGAGACTGTGCTGGGTAGGCCAGGGTCAGGCTGGCAGCTGTCTGAGGCTGGGGATGCGCCATGCTGCGTCCCTGCTGGCCCTCCACATTCCCATACTGGGGGCGTGGCTGCCCTGGCAGGGCCAGGCTCCTCCTCCATGGAAGAAGAGGAGGTGGCTGAAGCAGCCACAATTGGAGACAACACCTCTTTGTCGATCTCGTTGGAGCTGGGCTCTGCAGGGGCCAGCACGTCTGGGCTGGGCTCCGACGGTTCCTCCTCCTGATAGAAGAGGTGGAAAGGACCAGTCTGGGTTCTGGGCTTGCACTCCTAAATCCTGGGCCCCCAAACATCACCCAGTCACCCCACATTCTAAGGCGTCACCAGCAAGAGAAGGCAGATGGAGTTCTTGCCTCCTAAGTTACAGAAGCGGTTGTCTGCCGCGAGTCACGCGCAAGAGGGAAGCACCACTCCAGCTCCAACTTGGGCAGAAGGAAGGTGCAAAAGGGGCCCGGCGGGACCAGGGCAGTGGGCGTGCCCAACACGAGGAGGGCGGGGCCGAGACTCGGAAGACGCGGCCTTGGACTGAGCGGTGACCGGTAGATATTAGAGGGGCTTGAAGCAGACTGTGATGATGATGTGGAAATGCCCGCCGGGCTCGAGCTGTGCAGACCAATTTGGAGGTACTAAGGGCCCGTTGTTCTTAGGGGCGGAGTCCGAGCCTGGTGGGCGTGGCCCAGCCCAGGGCGGCCCGGAAGTAGGGAAACGACGCCCGCCGACTGACAGCCCGCGGCGGGCGGGTGCCCCGATATGGGGGGTGGGGTCGACTGGAGGCTGCGCACACGGATAGGGCCGCTCCCTGCCAATTCCCGCTGCTCCGCCGCTCCCGTGTCCCTGGCGCCGCGCTCACCATCCTCCACTCCCCTTGATCTCTGTTCCTGCGGCTCCGGTGGCTCCGGATCAGATGGCGGAGACTTCCTCGGCGAGGCGAGCTCGTGTTCACATCGACGCCATTTTTTGCCTCCCAGCTCTCGCGAGAGCTGAGGCGGAGCCTGAGCGTGGTGCTACGAGAGGGGGCGGGGCCTGAGACTGGTAGTCCCGGACCGCTGAGTGGACCCGGTGTGGGGCCTGCAAGCTAGGGGCAGTTGTAGGGTGCCGAAGTCGGCGTGAGGGCTCTGTCCGGGCCCTCATGTCCTCGATTGCAAAGTGGGCCCCCATATCCTTTCTTGTCACATCCTGTGGCCAGCCCTCGGAGGGTACTACACGGCAGGGTTGGTTTTTTTTTCTCTGTGATTAGACCATCTTTTTAAAGGAAATCGACAATGGCAACAGCGTCAGATTTTTTTTTTTCTTTTCTTTCTTTTTTTTTTTTTTTCTTTTTTTTTTTTTGGAGACAGGGCACCTCACAGTGCAGTGCAGGCTGGCCTTGAGCTCACTTTGTAGCCCAGGCTGGTCTCGAACTTGCAACCATCCTTCTGCTACAGCCTCCCGAGTGCTGGGCTTGTAGGCGTGCAACACCATACCCCATTACGTCTTTAGATTTTTCAGAGCACCTAATTCTGCAGTTGGAATCGGTCTGTTGTGATAGCCAAGCGCAGGACACAAACTGACAGTCTTTAGGGCTTTTTCCTTTGCTTTCTTTTTGTTTTTGTTTTTTTTTTTGGAGACAGGGTCTGATTGTGTAGCTCATGCTGGCCCTCACTTCACTGTGTAGACACGCTGGCCTTCAACTCGTGGCAGTTCCCATGCTTCAGCCTCCTGAGGACTGCGATGACAGGCGTGGGCCACCACCTCTGGCTGACTTTTAGGCTTTAACCAGCAGCTGAAACCTTGGACTGGAAAGGAATGAGTCCAGATAATGTGTCATGGGGGTGACATGGGTCCCCTGTCTAGCCTACATTCCTTAAGTGGCTGCTGTATACTAAGGTGCTAGAGACCCAGGGGTAGCAGGACAGAGCAATCCTTGCGCTCGGGGCACTTGAAGCTTAAAATGAGGCAATACAATAAATAAACAAATGCAGTACATGGTCTTCAGTCCTATTTGGAACAGTGAAGACAACAAAAGCAGGATGCAGTATGGTAGGGGTGTCTGTGGGGAGCCCCTCTGAGGAAGTGGCCTGTTAGCTGTGACCTCCTGGCTAAGGAGTGAGGGAGTGCAAGATCAGGGCAGCAGAGGGCTCCAAGAAGCTGGTGCAAATACCCTGAGGTCGCGAGGGACAAGCTAGGCTTGGCCAAGGTGGAGTGCGTGGACCTGGGCCCGGCCCTGCTGCGGCCTGAGAAGGGCGGGTGTGGAGGTCAGAAGGTGACCTTGTTGCAGGTCGGGTCCCACAGGGCCTTGTGCCCGAGACCATGGTCACTGGGAGGATGGGCTTTGGGGCAGACCATAAAATACATCTTGGCCGTCAAATCTGTAGGGTACATTATTCAGCCCCAAGTGAGGCACTCGCTGAGTCTGAGGCCGCTGCACACTTTGTGGGTGGTGTATTTCTATCTGCGTGACAAAGGTGTGCTTGGGTGCTTCAGTGTGCAGTGAAGATGGCTAGAAGGAGGCCCTGAAAAAGCAGGGAGGTACCAGACATGGAAGTGCGCGCCTGCAATCACAGCACTTAGGGGGCTCGAGCAGGAGGGTTGGGAGTTAGAGACCAGCTTGGGCTATATATATGTAGATGGTGTTCAAAGAAAACCACTGAAGGACTGGCCAGACAGCTGAGCAGATTAACATGCTTGCTTAAGCAGATGCGGGGACTGGGGTTCCATCTGGACATGTCCGTGTTGGGCTGTGCTGAGATGGCAATTGAGACTGGGCCTGATGGCCTGCGCCTGTAATCTCAGCGCTTGGGAGGCAAACAGGAGGATCAGTACTAGTCCAATCTGTGTAGTGAGACCCTGTAGAACTTGTACTAAATACATTAAAAAAAAAAAAAAAAAAAAAAGGAAAGAAAGAAAACCATTGAAACAAAACCAGGGAAGAGCGCACTGTAAATCTCCAACACAAAACCAAACCTGACCAGACAGACTGCACCACACCACGTTGCACCACACCACAAAAGAGAACAGTCAGCCAGGAGTGCTGGCACGTGCCTGTAAGTACCGAGGGAGGCTGAATCAGGAGGGTGGCAAGTTCAGGTGCTGCCTAGACAACTTAATGAGGCCCTGTCTCAAATTTTAAACATTTACAGGACGAGACCCGGGTACCTGGGAGTATACGTGTGCCACCATGCTCAGCTCGCAAAATTGTGATTTTTCAAAAACTTCCACCTCTATTTTTTTTTTTTTTTTTTCGGAACCAAGGATAGAACTCAGGCCCTTGAGCTTGCCAGGGAAGCACTTATTCTACCTAGCCATCTCCCCAGTCCCTTTTTAAAAAATTTGATACGGAGTCTCACTATGCAGCTGGCAAGCCCAGGGTTCCAGGGCCAGCACAGCATGTAGTACTAGGGATCAAACTCGCGTCTTAGCGCTTGCCAGGCAGGTGTTTAGACTGCTGAACTATCTCCCTAGCCCACATTTATGTATTTATAAAGTCATCATTATAATATAAAAAAAGCACTGTCCATTTAACCTCTTCATATAGTTGTTTATCAGTCTGGACTTTTAGTTTCCTGTTCTGTATATAGGCTGTAATCATGTTTCAGATTTATTTCACTATCTTGTCCCAGATTTAGCCAGATTTGGCCAAAATCCCTTCAAACAGGTTTATAACTTATTTTGGAAAGTCCACTTCAGTATTTTGATCCTTCTCTTATACTCTGTAACTATAAGATTGTGGTATAATAATCAAGCTTCCTGGCTCTAGAAATGAAATCAGCCATTTCTTTAAGTAGCTTTCAACCTTCTATGGAAGAAAAAGACAGGAAAAGGGAACTTGTGGAAATTTCAAAGACAGGCCAGGGAGATGGCTCAGTAGAATAAGTGCTTCCCTGGCAAGCGCAAGGGCTGAGTTCAATCCCCGGTTCCACCAAAAAAACCCAAACCAAAACAAAACAAAAAAAAACTTGAAAGAATGAGGAGCTGGGGAGATAGCTCAGTGGAATAAGTGCTCCCCTGGCAAGTGCAAGGGCCTGAATTCAATCCCTGGTTCCACAAAAAAAAAAAAAAAAAAATAGTAAGAGTAAATATTTAGGGGCCAGGGAGATAGCTTGGCAGTCTAGCACCTGCCTAGCAAGCACAAGGACCCAGGTTCAATCCCCGGTACAACATGCCACGTGGCCTAGAAACCTGGGGGCGCCTGGTGGTACAGACCTGTAATCCTAGCGCTCGGGAGGCTGAGGCAGGAGAATCACTATGAGTCCAAGCTGCATAGTGAAACCCTGTACCGAATGAATAAATGATTTTTAAAAAATTCTTTTTAAAAGAATAAAAATCTATTATTTATAAGAGCTTTGAAACAAACTAAAAATGATAACGCTTGCAATTTATTTATTTATTTAATTTTATTTATTTATTTGTGTGGCCAGCTCAGCCCACCAGGGGGCGGGGCTGGCTGGCATGTGGTGCTGGGGGATTGAACTGGAGTTCCTGTGCTTTGCTAAGCTTGTTCTAAGTAGGTGCTTTAGACCACTGAGCCATCTCACCAGCCCCTAAAAGCTTGCAATTTAAATCAGATGTTTAAGGGCCAGCCAAATAGCTCAGCGGATTAAAGCACCTGCAAGCAGGCTGGGGGGGGCCGGGATCAATCCCCAGGCCTGTTGTGCCGGCCCTACCCCTGGGGCATGCTGAGATGGCAATTGAGACTGGGCGTGGTGCCGCACACCTGTCATCCCTCTTCTTGGGAGGCTGTAAACCGGTGGATCACTATGAGTCTGATCTAGTAGTGAGATTCTGAACACTCTGTAGACCCTTCCCTAAAATACAGGGAAAACAAACAAACAAACAAACAACCCACCAGATTAAAAGAACTAAATGTAATACTTGAAACTGTATTGGGTGATCGAGTAGGGCTAGAAACCATGTGTGTAAAGCTCATTATTGGGACAGGTCGGAAAGTTTATAGAAGGTTGGTATGATCTGTACTATTGTTAAATTTACTGGTTATTAGGGGCTGGAGAGATAGCTGAACGATGGAGCACCTGCCTGGCAAGCGATTCCCAGTACCCAAAAAACCAAAATTTGCTGGTTATTTTCTGTAGTCATATGAAAGACTATCTTTTTATTTTTTTTATTTTTTATTTTTATTTTTATTTTTTTTATCCTGCCTCAGGTTTATTTGTACAAAGAGCACAGGAGGACACCAGCCCCCCACAGATGGCACCCCAGTCCTTCTGTTTTTACATCAGCAGTAAGAGGCTTTTACTGTGGAGTCTTCACAGGGGCCTGAGCACCTTTGGGAGCCTGGGCTGGAGCAGAAGCTGGAGCCTGGGCCTTGGCTGGAGCAGAAGCTGGAGCCTCAGCCTTGGCCGGAGCCTGGGCCTTTGGCCGGCAGGCCCTGCGACCCTTGGCAATGTGGGCACGGATACGCTTCCCAAGCTTGGGGTGGGCAATATAGGCAAGTCGAGCGAGCCTGCGGTTTACTCCCTTTGGAATGATCTTGGGCTTGACCTCCTTGGGCTTGACGAGGGCCTTGATAGCCTCGGCGCATGCACTCATGGCCTTGGCATTGTTTGCTTGCATCTTCTTGAAGCCCTTCTTGTTGTGCTTCTTGGCAAAATGCATGTTCCTAAGGAACTTGGGATCCACCCCCTTCAGAGATTCGTATCTTTGTGACCGAGGTTTCTTGATGCCATTTCTGTGCCATTTTCTGGACTGGTTGTGCGTGGTGTGGTTCTTGGACTTGGCCATAACTGCACTGTAAACCGCGGCGACCAAGACTATCTTTTTATTTATTTTTTTGATGTAATTGGGACAGGGTCCACAGGGTCTCACTATATAGATGGGAGGGGGGGGGGGGGGGCTGGCGTGGTAAACCGGGATCGAGCCACGGCCGCTGCACTCTGCCTAAGCAGGCACTTCAGTCCACTGAGCTATCGGGCCAGCCCTGACTATCTTTGTTAGCAAACATGGATATGTTTAGGGATACAGAGCA